TAGACACATACAAGTTGTCCAGTCATACATACACACGTTGCACAACTTACAATAATATATATATATATATATATATACGTCACACACACCTATAACTCGATAACTAGTATGCATAAAATTTACATAGATCTACAAGTAACAATGTGAATACATAATTATACGTCATACACAACATCATATAAGTTTTCAATCATATGCAATTGCGCACATACGAATATGATGAGTTCACCGAACTTGTGGTAGAAAACTCAAATAGTTATAAAGTCTGTAAACAATTCATTTTAACAGAAAACAAGTTTTTATAAAACATGAGGGCCTCTGAGTGAGACTAACTTAATCCCTTACTTACAGTCGAATCGGAAAGTATTGGAATCCTTATTGGTTCAAATCTACAGTATTCTCTGAATCCCGATTACTGTTTAGATAATTTTTTCGTTTACAAACAAAAACACGTGGGTTAAATGACGAATGCATGTGAAAATAATTAAAATACAAATGCGGACCGAGTTTTTACCAAAGACACACAATCTCATTCACCAAAATTGCCACACGCCACCACATGCATGTCCCTAGTTCACAACGTACTGCTGCCGGAGCGCTGTCTTCGGACCACTACGCACCACTGTAGACCACCACGAATTGATCGAAATTCATTGTGAAATGTTTCATGCACACAAAGCTGGCACGTACATAGCAAAATCGTACCAGAGAGAGCTAGAAGTATGCACAATCGTGTAGGCAACCGCTGCAGATCTCATTCTCTTATGCAAGTTGTCACATGATTCCCTCGGGTTTTCAATCGCACAGGTTACAGAGTCGTCTCGACTCTTCTTCTTGTCATGAGGAAAGCCATACCCGTCTTAGATCACCTCCTGCAAGTCAGTGGCAGCTGTGACTCCCTTTTTTTTTCTCTCTCTTCGCACCATTCTTTCTCCTTTCTGATTTCTTCCCTTTTTCCTTTAATAGGTGGGAGGACGGAGAGTCCTGTATGCCTCTTCTTCTTTTTTCTTCGGTGTGCAGGTCCCAGCTTCTTCTTCGTCTTCTTCGGCGGCCAGAGGCATACACGCCTCTGGTTTGCTCTATTTTTTTTTCTTTTTCACGCCTCTGGTTTGCTCTATTTTTTTTTCTTTTTCTATCACCAAAACGACATCGTTTTAATGCTCTCAAAACGACATTGTTTTCACCTCCTATTTTTTCTTTCTTCATATTAAAATTGCATCATTTTTAGAATTTCTCAAAACGATATATTTTTGGCTTTTCCTGCTTCGAAGAAGTAGTTGAGTTGGATTTGTTTCTTTCATGTCGGGTTGTTACAATGTATGTTATCTTTTTTAAATTTTTATTTCTTTAACATACATCCAAAAGAAAAGAAATGACCTATGATTAATTTTTTTTAGTTATTTCTATTATTCACTACAAAGTACAAACACAATCACATGTATGGATACATATATATGTATATATATCATATAATGCATATTAAACTTCCTTTTTGTGTACATGCACATAAATGCTGAATTCCCGACTTTGAGTTGAATTTTTCTAGTTGATAACGATGCTACTTAATTTATGGCCATGACTATATGAAATGAAAAATATATATATATATATATATATATCTATATGTGTGTATAGATGGTTAAGGTAGCTATATATATATAGGCAGACGCAGAGAAATGACAAATAAGAAAATAGATGGTTGATCTTCCATCATATTCATTAAATAAATTGGCAAATCAATCCAAAAATTGATCATATCAATAACAGTTTTCTTATGCCTCGATATTATATACATATATAATTTGGGACATAAAGACGAGAAACTCAATCATACGGGTCCCTTACTGGACTGTAATTACGTGTCACAATTCTTTTCCCCTTGATTTTAAACTGTAACATCTAAAGGTCACGAGCTCAAATCATCAACCACTACACATATATAAACAAATACATATATATAACCATTAGTCAATTGGTGTAAACTTTTATCTCTTCCCAAAAAAAGAAAAAAAAAAAAAAAAAAACGGTTCGAGTGTCTTACACACACACACACACACACAATAATCACTGTTTATATATACATATATCATACGAGATAACTTGATTACTTATTATTTTTAATAATATTTTTTGTCCTAAATATGTTGTGAAATAATTATGATTATAGATGAAGCCAACATTTATTCAAAAAGTAAATTTTATTATTTTTATATAATATTCATATAGAAAACGAAATTTCTATGGTATTTAATTATCTGACAATTTAAAATTAGTAACATCATTTATTATTTTTGTAATGGAAAAAAGTACTAAAATTAAATATAAATTTTCATTTGACGATGAAGCCCATGGAATCTTCAAACCTGGCCCATATTAGCTGGTTTTCCACAGGAAAAAAAAAAAAATTAATTTTTATGGCCCAGGAATATTCCATAAAATGGAAAACGCAAACTCCGACTAAATAAATATGTGTGCGTGAAAATAAAATGATTAAATAAAAAAATTAAAGAACTGTGTTTTTAAAATTTAAGATATCTTAATATAGTATTTTATAAAACAACAAAATGGACTGCCCATAAAACGGCCTACATATATATATATATAAATTAAGACTTTATTGATGAAAATAAAAATGGTTGCGTGAAGAGCACCTCCAAAATAATTAGTTAATTATAATTAATATTATGTAGTAAAAAAAAATAATTATAATTATTGCCATCTTTTTGCATGTGCATGTGCATGTGCATGCTTACCACCTTTGTGAAACATTAAAGCATGGAAGGAGAATAACTTGAATGAAGTTATTTTTTAAGTATTAATTTACTTATAATATAATCTATTATTATTCTATAATAAGATTAAAATGGTTTCTAGTCTTTCAGTCTTTTATTGATAACAATTCCAAAAATTTAACCTTTTTAATTTATTATACATTAAAAATATATATATATATATATATATACACATCATAATATTTTTGTTTAGGCAGAATAAAATTTATCACAAAAAAAAACAGCAATTAGATGGGAAAAAAAACTAAAAACTAACATCAATTTATTTGTCTATTATTTTATAGACACTAACACTTTACAGAAATGGCCCACGCTTGACAACATTTGTCAATTGCCAAAGTAAAAATCTTTGACATTTTAAACTCTTTCTTTCTTTTTTTCTTAGTCATATTTTTTAATAAATTATTATTAATATTATAATTAATTGACTGATTTTTTAATACAATATAATATATAAGTGTTACGTTAGTTGAGTGTAGAAACTAAAATCTTTAATTTATACAAAATTGTTTTAGTAAAATTTATTGTATTTTTACTAAAAATTATTTATAGTATTCCGAATTTAAATACGTGAGGTCAATTTTTTCATTGTTTTATTATTTTTTATTTTCCGGTTAAAATTATGACTCAATTGTCAAAGTTAATTGACTTTATTCATAACAAATCAAGCTATTATTTATTTCTTCATTTTACTAATTTGATGACGTTAGATTTGTGTAATAATTGAGTCATGCAAATTTTAATGATTTTTGTTTGGTTAGGAGGAATTTATATATATATATATATTATATTATATAAAAGAGGGGAAAGAATAATCGGGTTGGGCTTATTTTGTGTCTCATAGTAGATTATTGAGCCCATAGTACGATGAGACTTGTGGGTACTCCCACAGTCCACAGCTAAATTTGGCACTAAAGAAACGCACCGTTTTTTGGGAACTGCGATTTCTCGTTCTTGAGAAGAGAAATTCTGAGACCGAGCACGATAAATGAGAAAATCAGAATCAGCCTAGTGATGGGATTTCTTTGAATTCTTTTGTGAATTTTATCTTGTATTTTATAATTGATTATGGATTGTAACGAGTAGGATTTGAGATAGATTATTTTACCAAATTTAAATCTGATTCCGTCTTGTAAAAAATAAATTTGAGTTCATCCCAAATTCTTGATATATATATATATATTTTTTTAAAGTTACATCAAATTTATTAATGATTATATTTTTTAGCCGTAAGTGTAATTTGTACGCAATTTTTGTATATATATATATATATACATATATATTTTTTTTTGGGTTGACGTTATAAAGAAATTTATATTAATATCACAAAATTAAATGGATTAGATAACTTATAAGCAGTTACAAATTAGCTGAAAGTCTTACAACTCAAACTTTTGGAATATTAAAGCCCAAGTATTTGGTAATAACAAATTAACTCGAAATTTTCTAAAAATACAATCACATTTGTTTGCATAAATTAAAATAAATTCAACTCAAGCTGTTTTAACAATTATTAAATTTATTATTTGACCATTAACTGAAATATTTAATGAAAAATATTTTAATTTCAAATTATTTTTGTTTTATTTTGTAACTTATTTTTTTTTACTTTAAATTAAAATAAAAATAGACTTCTAATTTATTTAGCTTTTATAAATTAAAACATATTTTTCCTTTTAATTTTAATAATTATCAAAAAAAAAAAAACCGATTTATCAGAAGAGATATATATGTGCGTTAGAAGGAAAATCTTTAATATCAGAGACTTGTTTGTTTCTCATAATTTTCTAGTTATCTTACAACGAAGAAATATAGATTTAGAATATTTATGTATATTTATATATATATTTTTATATATAATGGATTTACACGGATTCGAAATACACATAAAAAATATTTCGAAAGATGAACTGTAACAAGTTCATGATTGCGGATTTTTCGCGCTTCATCTCCTGCTAGATTTTCCGGTTTCTAAAGTTTCTTCTTTTTTCCCGTGTTCTGTGCCGGAGTCCGAGTCATCGAACTTCCATTACCATCCGCGTTAGGTAAAATCATTATCTCCTTCCTCGCTCGCAGCTGTCAAAATATTTATTCTCTCGAAGATTGACGATCACGAGGAAGAGAAGAAGGAGAAGAAGAAGATTGCAGAGTCTAATTTGTAATACCCAGAGATTGAATTTATGAGATGTTATTCTGACTCTTGATGAAATGAGGCTCGAAGGAATCTGCTTTACAATACAATTAGCAATTCGGGTAATCCTGCAGAGCACAATTGGGGATTTGGAGACTTGCGCTAGTATTAGGTGTCTGGATTTTACATATGTTTTGGCTTCTTGAATGGTTATTTGCCCGGAATCAAAGGACTAGGCCAGCACAGCGAAGCCAATCCACCCAGCTAGGGTTCAACCGGTGGTGATGTTTGATACAGTGCAGGAGATTGCAATTTACCTCCATAGGTTTCACAACCTTGACCTTTTCCATCAAGGGTACGTGCATTTCAGTGGGTTGCTTTACTTAGAATAAAAAGTCTTTTTTGATTTGTGCTAATTCTATGAGTCATTATACTTTGGCTTTACTCAAGATGGTACCAAATCAAAATCACCATGAGATGGGAAGAGGACGAGCGGATTCCTTGTGGAACCCCTTCAAGAGTTGTTCAGTATGAAGGTATGCCATTCTGTGTAATTTTTTTTTTCGTTTTTCATAAAGCTGTTTGGTTTTTGTCTGTCTATGCATTTGACTTGTTAGTGTATGAGATGAGCCCGGTCCTTTACTTGGAGCATTCTTCTTTGCTTCTAGTGATGGATAGGAAGTGTGGTTAATGTTATTACTTCTTTTTAAAAATGAAAATGGTAATTATTACTTTAATGGCAATGTGATTCTTTTGGAGAGAGTTTCCTTCAATAAAAGAAAGTGTGAATTTCCAGTTTTGGTAAAGTGAGTGTGATTAGCTGGTTTTCTCAAGTGGATAGCATTTCAATTTTGAACTCCATTATGACATATGGAACTTTCAGCGCAAGATATTTGCATTAGAACTCATGATTTTGATACCTCGCCTTGATATTATCATTTGATTCGCGTAATTGATAAAAAGCTTTGGTTTGAAGTGAAGCTTCACTTTTGTGTGCTCCTGTAATCTTAAGCTAGTCAAATTTGTTTGGACTACAGCTCATGATCTTGGTTCTGATGAAGCACATGGCATATGGAGAATTGACGACAAAGAAAATAGTTTTTTCACACAACCTTTCTGGATCAAATATGCAAGACAGGATATTCGTTTATGCATGATGGTCTCATTCAATATACCACTTGATAAATATCAGGTACTCTCTTTATCTGACCTTTTGAATAAATTTCATTTGTTTTGTGGTTATCAGAATAAATAAGCATAAGCTTAGTGAAAAAAAAAATCCTTAAAAGAAAGGGTTATGGAAAATAATTTTGACAAAACCTTAGCAGTCACTACCCTTTTATCCAGGGTGGAACCAGACAACCTTAAAAGAAAGAGTTGTGGAAAATAATTTTGACGGAACCCTTCCAGTCATTACCCTTGTATCTTGTTGGGGAATCTTTAGTGGCTGATTTGCTTATAGCATCAAAAGGATGATCTTTTCTGCAAATAATTGCCTTGTATAAATAGGTGTGCTTTTTTCACTCTTTAGGCGAAGATGATGAAGATGTTTGACTTCTGAAATCTTGTAGTCACTAACCTCCTGCTGGTTCTTATTGTGATGAAAGAGGTTTTTAGATGCATAACAAATCTTTTACTAATATCTGTTTTGATGTGTTGTTGGTACAAACTTTTTTTTATTAAATGTTGACTTACTTTACTCTTTACTTATTGCTAATATGAAAAATTTTACAGGGTCGATCAACTTCTGCTGTTATTTTGAAGTTTGAGCTGATGTATGCTTCTGCTATGGATAACATGTTATTGGGTTCTCTAGAAGCCTGTCCTGCTTCTGTCCATGAATTCCGGATTCCTCCAAAAGCTCTTCTGGGAGTGCATTCTTATTGCCCTGTCCACTTTGATGCATATCATGCTGTGCTCTTTGATTTAAGTGTTCATGTTACTCTTCTGAAATCTGCTTCTTACACACAGTTAGAGAAGGTACCCAGGTTTGTCACAGGTTCTAAATTCTGAAATAGATGATCCGGCATTAATCACACCTTTCTTCGTTTCCTTAAACTACTTTCTATCCTCAAAATTTAGGCAGTTCATTTTTTGGGGTTCTAGTTGTGAAGAAATGTTGTCATTTGTCGAATTTACTTGGTTTGCCAATTTTTTCAGTGATTCTTCTGAAGCTGAAGACAGTAATGGTGACACTGTTGATGGTTCTAATCATGTATGAGTTTTTGCTTCCTGTAGCCTCACTCTTGATTTTTTAGCAGCATGGCTTTCTCATTTCTTGCCCATGCATAACTGTGTAAATTTACAAATGCTTGCTGTTTCTTTTATGATTATTTACCTCTAAAGGGAATCAGTTGTTGAGTTTCTTTTGTCCGTGCATCCATGTTAGCCTATATGTGCAAAAGTAGTGGCTGAATTTATGGCAGGCGAACTTTATTCTTGTCTTTTAAAACTTGTAATCAAATGCTTTTACGTATTTCATAGTTCTCCACATTATAGCTAGGCTTTATGTTTTGAATAATTAACTTTTCCTTTTGTCTAGGTTTTAGATTTTATGTCCACATTAAAACTTGTAATCAATGTTATGTGTATCATGGGGTGCTATGCCATATGTCTAAAGAATGACAATTAAGAAGTTTCTAGGACTTCTGCAAACAGGAAGCTAGACCTTGGAATAATGGATGCAAATGGATGTCATGCTTAAAGATGGCTTGCAAACTTTTTGTCATCTCAATATCTAGTCTTAAGCTAGATCTGGTTGCTCACTATTGTCTGAGGTGAAAGTTGGTTAACTATTGTATTTATAAAGTTGAACCTTATATCTGGTGCTATCTGGCTATCTGACCTGAAGAAGTGCAGGCAAGAATCTCATAAAAAGGATTCAGGAAATGTTTTAGCTGGTTATTTGGCGTATCAGATCATGTTAGCAATTTCTACTTGCCATTAGTTCAAGGAGGGTTGCACTGATAGTATCTGTTAATGGAGGCATTCATAGTATTATAGACGTGATGATATTTCTCATTTTTACTTTTAGGGTTTCTGATGAAATCAGAAAATTATCTTTGGAAACTCCCTATGGAAATGTTTATTCTGAGACAGATTTATTTCATGATATTCTTCTTGCAAATTCTATCTACAAATGCTGTTTGCTTGTGCCTTGATTTTGAACTTTGTAATTGAATAGGCACCGGGTCGGGGGGCTTCTCTTGATAGGAAACGGGTAATGTGTGTGAAAGCATTACTAGATGCGCGCAACACTTTGCTTGAAGAGCTACAAAAACTAAGCAATGCTCTTGATCATGCTATTGACTTGTCTGCATTTATATCCCAAATGAATGAAATGTTTGTTTCAGTTCTTCCACCAAATCTGGCTGCCCAACTTGGTGAAGTCTCAGGACAAGGCAAGCCACAAAACAGTCTTGAGGTCCTTGCTTTATTTTGTTCAGCAGCACATTCATTGTTAAAATTTTCGTTCTTAATGGTTTTCTGGGTTATGTTAACATATCCTTCTCCCACACTTCCCTTTTTGCAGAGAGAAAGTGGCACACTAGATTTTCCAAGTGATCTTATTCTCCACAGGTTGTCAAAAGATGATCTCTTCAACATATTTCATTTATTGGGGGGACAGAATTTATATTTATGGAACACTTTTCTGACGTTCCACAGGTACTTCTTCAATTGCAGTTGGATTTGCTAAATATTTGAAGTAAACTTTTGTTAATGTCATCTGAACCAAAATCTTTTGAACTTCTAGTTTTTGATATTCTTGAGTAAATTTGCATATCAAGCACAAGTTCTCCTCTCTCTCCTTTCCCCTGCCATCAAATTCCCTTTTCCCCTCTTCCTCATGTTGATATATGTTCTACAATAATATCACAGTGATGAACATGTTTCAAGTGAAATAGATTGGTTCAATGCTGCAGTTGTAGCCTTTTTATACTCTGAGACAGGTGTAGATTTAGATTTTCAGCAATCTTTTCATTGTGCTTGGGAATGCCTTCAAGTTTGTCTTTGTCAATAGTTTATGATTAGCTACTAATTTAAGTAAAAAGAACTAAACCATGGAGAGCAATTACATTATTTGTTTGGTTTAGGCCCTTATATTTTACTTGTTTTAGGGACAACAAATCAAAAATTATGGGATATCTCCGTGATGTTTGGGCTAGAGATAGAAGAGCTGAATGGTCAATCTGGATGGTCTACTCTAAGGTTGAAATGCCTCATCATTATATAAATAGTGGGGCTGATGAGTCTTCTCACCGAGGCATGCACAGAAGAGTTTCAAGTCTGTGGAAAATAAATGATGTAAGTACTTGTTTTTACACGTTTCATAATCATGTTGCACAAATTGTTAGTCTACACTTGTTCTGATTGGGAATTTGTTTTGCATGCAGCCTGCTCAGGCCGCAACTATGCGTGCAGAACTCCACCGGCGAAGTATTGCACAAATGAAGGTCAGTTGTTGCTTTAGTAGCGGATGCATTTCTTGTCATCGTTATATAGCTGTATTGGTCTTATGTTCTGTATTTCTCTTAGTTTTACTTGTAAATACCTCTGTTATGCAGATCAATAATCGGTCAGTACAAGACATGCATGTATTTGGAGATCCTTCACGAATTCCCATTGTGATTATGGAACGTGTCCTGAATGCACCAAGACGTACTTTCAGTGAAAATTCATACTTCAGACATTTGGACCTGGTAGATTCAAGTTTGCTAACTGGACCAGGTCCTGAGAGTGGAAAAAAGCAATCTGGATCCAGTAAACAACAAACTGGTCGAGAATTGAAGATTGTTGTTTTTGTGCATGGATTTCAGGCAAGTCACTTTGTTAGAGGACCCTTAAATTTCTGAATTAGCTTCTCTCTATTTTTTTTTTCATAAAAACATGTTTCACTGTCTTCTTTCTTTTCTGTTTCTTTCTTCCAGTTGATTGAAAACGTGATATATATTGATTGAAAAACATGACTTCACCATGGTGAAACAATTCAAGTAATAACACTGTTTCATCAGTTTTAAACTGAGCTTTGACTTTTCCATTTGGTTGGGGCTCTTGTTGGAATTATTGCATGTCTCTAACTCTCCCCTGTTGCCAAAAGGAAAACGCAGTTATCAAATGGAGCTGAAATAGTTTAGACTTAAAAGCATTTGATTTTGTACTTGGTAGTTGGCTAATTTTCTTACCCAATTCTGTGAACCAACAAGAGCTGTCTGTATTCCCTGTTTAGTTCATTAGATTAACTTGATTTACGACTATCCTATACTAGGGGCATCACCTGGATTTACGGCTTGTTCGAAACCAGTGGCTTTTGATTGATCCAAAGATAGAGTTCCTCATGTCAGAGGTAAATGAGGATAAGACATATGGGGACTTCAGAGAAATGGGACAAAGACTTGCTCAGGAGGTGATTTCTTTTATGAAAAGGAAAATGGATAAATTTTCAAGGACCGGACGTTTAAGGAATATCAAGCTGAGTTTTGTTGGGCATTCTATTGGAAATGTCATAATTAGAGCAGCTTTAGTTGGTAAATGCTCATCATCTTGGATCCTATGCTATTTTCCATATGTTTTTTTTTTCAATTGTTCTATCTCCTGTTCTGTTTTTATTTTTCCCCTTCATTATAGTGCTTCGGACTAGATCTGTGATTTTGTTTTTTCAGACAATGCTATGGAGCCGTATCTAAGATTCCTGTATACATATATATCACTATCTGGTCCACACTTGGGTTATCTTTACAGTTCAAATTCTTTATTTAATTCGGGGCTCTGGCTCTTGAAGAAGCTCAAGGGTACACAATGCATTCATCAGCTGACCCTCACCGATGATCCAGATCTCAGGAAAACTTTCTTCTACACACTTTGCAAGGTACTAAAAGCATATAGTAATTTCAATATTTGTCAATAGAGTAATCAAATATGGGAAGCAGGGCAAATTTTGGCAATTTGTAATCAATGAAAGCACATCTGAGCCTTTGTGCCTTTTATGAGGAACAAATCCTGATTTAAATAGTGATCTATTCCATTTTTTAATGCCTGTTTTGGGAATCCTCCATGACATGGCTAATCATGTGCAAGCTTAAACCATTTGCAGCATTCAAAGAATAATGAGAGTCATTCACCCGAAAAATGATTAAATCTGATTTTATAGTTTATTTTGAATATTACTCTTTGGCTTAGTTTCTGAAACAATCTCTTTTCATCTTTCAGCAGAAGACACTGGAAAATTTTAAGCATATAATTCTTGTCTCATCACCTCAGGTATTCCTTCTCATTCTTTGGATTCATCTAATGTAAAGGCTTTTTAAACTGCTAGAAGTAATTTAAGAGGGTTCATAATGGCTGAATCTTCTGTTCTATCCTTTTTCTGCTTCGCCCTTTTTGGTGCAAGGGGCCTAACAGAAACTAGACAAATTCAAAGTTGAGTTGTTCCCAGGTTTTACAAGCTCTTGTGGTCTTGGTGGGAGTGAATAATTCAAACACTTTGGGAGTGCCTTCATATCATTTGATTGTTTGAACCATGGAAAATGCCACCATACCTTTGAGATAGCTTCCCTTAATTAAGAGTGAATTTATAAAATGAAAAAACATTGTGTTAATTTTAATGGCAGTCATTA